TAAAGGGCAGTGCCCTCTGCCATGGAAAGGGCACTCCATGAGATTTCCCATGGTTCCTAAAGGACAGTGTTTGCTCTGCCATGGGCTACAGCCAGCTGGTGAGTTTTAGGGGGTTTTTTGGGATGCTGAGATTCACCTTTGGTGAATCCACAAAGGTGATTTCCACACCTTTGGTGTGGAAAGGGTACTCAACAAGATTTCCCGTTGTTACTAAAGGGCAGTGCCCTCTGCCATGGAAAGGGCACTTCAGGAGCTTTCCCATGTTTCCTAAAGAACAGTGTTTGCTCTGCCATGGGCTACAGCCAGCTGGTGAGTTTGTAGGGTTCTTTTGGGATGCTGAGATGCATCTGGTTTGGTGTAGAAAGGGCACTCCCGGAGGTTTCGCCTATTCCTAAAGGGCAGTGCCCTCTGCCATGGAAAGGGCACTCTATGAGATTTCCCATTGTTCCTAAAGGGCAGTGTTTGCTCTGCCATGGCCTACAGCCAGCTGGTGAATTTGTAGGGTTTTTTTGGGATGCTGAGATTCACCTGGTTTGGTGTGGAAAGGGCACTCCAGGAGCTTTCCCATTGTTCCTAAAGGGCACTGTTTGCTCTGCCATGGGCTACAGCCAGCTGATGAGTTTGGAGGGTTTTTGGGATGTTGACATTCACCTGGTTTGGTGTAGAAAGGGCACTCTAGGAGGTTTCGCCTATTCCTAAAGGGCAGTGTTTGCTCTGCCATGGAAAGGGCATTTCAGGAGCTTTCCCATTGTTCCTAAAGGACAGGGTTTGCTCTGCCATGGGCTACAGCCAGCTGGTGAGTTTTAGGGGGTTTTTTGGGATGCTGAGATTCGCCTGGTTTGGTGTGGAAAGGGCACTCCAGGAGGTTTCACTTATTCCTAAAGGGCAGTGTTTGCTCTGCCATGGGCTACAGCCAGCTGGTGAGTTTGGAGGGTTTTTTTGGGATGCTGAGATGCATCTGGTTTGGTGTTGGAAGGGCACTCCAGGAGCTTTCCTGCTGTTCCTAAAGGGCAGTGCCTGGTTTGCATGGAAAGGGCACTCCCAGAGATTTCCTGCTGTTCCTAAAGGACAGTGTTTGCTCTGCCATGGGCTACAGCCAGCTGGTGAGTTTGGAGGGTTTTTTTGGGATGCTGAGATGCATCTGGTTTGGTGTTGGAAGGGCACTCCAGGAGCTTTCCTGCTGTTCCTAAAGGACAGTGTTTGCTCTGCCATGGGCTACAGCCAGCTGGTGAGTTTGGAGGGTTTTTTTGGGATGCTGAGATGCATCTGGTTTGGTGTGGAAAGGGCACTCCATGAGATTTCCCCTGTTCCTAAAGGACAGTGTTTGCTCTGCCATGGGCTACAGCCAGCTGGTGAGTTTGTAGGATTTTATTGGGATGCTGAGATGCATCTGGTTTGGAGTGGAAAGGGCACTCCACAAGATTTCCCATTGTTCCTAAAGGGCAGTGCCTGGTTTGCCATGGAAAAGGCATCTGCTCCCAAAGGTTCTTTCCCCCAAAATCCAGTGCCGCTCTGATCCCAAATTCACCATTTCAGAACAAGAATCAGAAGGAAATAATGTCTGGTTTTACCCCAGTGCAGTGCTCAATAAGTGGAATTTACTTTTACCCAATTTTTTATCTTTCCCCTGCAGTCAAAAGTGGGTACAGGAACCAGGAGCATTCAAACTGCCTTTAGCAAAGATCACTTTTGAAATAACAATTTTTAAAAATAACAAATAACCCAGCATCAAACTCAGCTGTGATGCCACTAAATCAAAGATTGTTTCTCATCTCGAGATACTTTGATTCTTTTTGTTGTTTAGATTTTTGGAGATTTTTGTTGTTTATAATTTTGGAGATTTTGTTGTTTAGATTTTTAAATGCAACTGCCCAGCTCTTGATCAACGAACTCTGCTTGATTTTTAGGGTGATGATGATCTGAAAGACACAGGTTTCCATCTCACCACCACAAACCAAGGAGCATCTGCTGCTGGACCTGGCTTCAGCCTCAAATTTTGAACTCAACATGACAAAAAGGGGGAAAAAACCCCACAGAGGAAAAAAAAAAAAAGCACCATTCATGTGAGTGGATTTGARTGCCCCACTTCTGTTCTCCCTGGGGGGCACTGGATGTTTTTCCCTGTGAAAAAACTCAAAATATTATCACAGATTCCAAGGCTCTTGTTTTATAAGTCAATGTGGAGTTTAACTGCTGCATTCCATGAGAGGACTGGAGTTCCTGAAAACCCCAGGATCATCACRAACTGTGACAAAGGACAACTTGAAATACAGTCCTGGAACAGTTTTTGGTTTATTTTTAGGAGGTTTTTTTTTTGTTTGTTTGTTTTTGAGTTTGTTTTGTTTTGTTTCGTTTTTCCCTTGTAAATTTGTAGAATTAAAATACATTTCTGATTGTTTTAATAGCCTGAAGGATTTCATTGCTTCACATGCAGCAAATGTTGGTGACAGTAAAGAGAATTTATTTTTTATTTTAAGTAAGTAAATTGTTTGTGTCTTGAATATATTTGGGGAAAAAAAAAAAAAGATAATTTTGAGGTTTGTGTCTTGTTACCAKGGAGAGAGCTGGGCTGGGTTTGATACTCCCTGACCAGATTTKTTTTGTTCTGTAAATGTATTTACAGTGGTGCAAAACAAGTTGAACTCTATTGTTTTATAAATCAGATTTAATATGGAGACTTTATTTTCTGTGCAAGTTTTTTTTAATCTACCCTTTTTCCATCCAAAGAAGAAAATGGCCTTCTGTGGTTGTGAAATGCCACATTCCAGTCCTTTTTGGGGGAAAGAGGAGAGGAGGAATCCTGAAATCTCACATTCCTTGGAGCCCCTGATTTGTGACGCTGTCACTTTGTTTGGGAACAGGGAGATCTGGAAAACACCACATTTTCGTGCAGCCACAGCTGGGCCTGGGGCCAGCCAGGGGATGAACTCAAATCCTAAACATTTTATCAGTTTCAGGACTTTTGGATGAGTTTTCCTGGGCTGGAGCCGGGGTAAGTTGGGAAAGCAGCCGGGTGGTTTTACTGGGGAGGAGGAGGAGGACAAATCCCTGTTCTCGGGGAGAAGGAGGAACAGCTGGAACATTCCTGATTCCAGAAGCTTCCCCAGGAACCAGTGAAAAGCAGGGAAGCTCTGAAGGATTAAACCATGACCCTGCTGCATAATTSAGCTGTGACACAGAATTATTCCCAGCTTCCCTGCACTCCTGCCCTCAGCTTTGCCAGCCACTCCTAAACTTTTCCAGCTGATTTTACCTCATCCTGGGTGCCTGAGGGAGGAAATCCCCTGGAGCAAAATCCCCAAGGACCAAACTCTGAGCAGGAAATGCTGTTGGGATGAGAGAAAAACCCACAAACCGCGGGACAGCGCWTGGGGGGAAAAGCTTTTCTGGGGATGCTTGAACTGAAATGTTGAAATGGAGAACTGAGCAGTAAAACAGGGTTTGTGTCATCCTCACCCTGCTGACAACTGAAAGAAAAGTCTTATTAAGGATTAACCTTGTGAGTTGTTGAATTTTACTGCAGCAGGATGTGGAAAATGGCAGAAAAGGGGGGTGAAACTGGTCCCAGTATCTCATGGACTGGGGGCAGAGTCAGCTCCTGCTTTGCAGCAGTTCCCAGCACCCCACACAGCTCAACTGACAGTGTCCTTACAAAAATGGCTTCTAATTCTCTGTCCAGCAAAAAAATTTATAAATTCTTTATCATTAAAACCAATCTGGAGGAGTTGGACATTCCAGTATCTAATCTGGGAGTCTCTTGTGCCCAAGGTAAGGAACTGACACTGTCCTTACAAAAATGGCTTTTAATTCTCTGTCCAGCAAAAAATTTATAAATTCTCTGTCAATAAAACCAATCTGGAAGAGCTGGATCTTCCAATAACCAGGCTGGGAGTCTCTTGTGCCCAAGGTAAGGAAGCAGCTGATGGAAAATTCGGTTTCAGTACTGGAGATTAAATTGAAAATACCAAAGAAACAACCAGAAAATGGAAGCAGCAGGAACTRAAGGGTTCATTCCAGGCCTGGTCAGTGCTTCAGTCTGATTCTCCAGGAATAAGTAGTTAAAATTCGTTCTTTTTTCTTCACTATGCAAGTGTAAGTTCCTTCATTAATTGCGTTTGCAATGATGCTCATGTGGTCTTCATTTARGGATAAATAACCTGGGTAGGAATATTCCAGAAGCTCCTGGTCTTTATACCAGCTGTCAAAAAAAAAAAAATCATTAAAAAAATAATTAAATTGCATAATTAGTTTGTGTTATTTCTAATAGATTTTGCTAAATAAGTATAGAGACTTTAGCAAAACACAGCTGAGTTTTACTCAATATTCCAGGCAGAAAATCWGGTTTAACAGGGCACAATCCTGAAAATTTTTGGAGTTTGAATCTCTGAAAATTGATGGGAATTTGGGTCCTCAGGTCTAAACCAACTCGTGAATTTGAGCCAAAGTGAACTTTAATACATCCAGAATCTGTTCATACTTCAGGAACAACTAATTATTAACTGAGAGGATAAATTAAAATTTTAGGGTTTTGTCAGAATATGGGCTGGGGAGTTTTGGCTTGATGGTGGGAATTATTGCTGTCTATGAGAATCAGATTTTATCCTTTTTCAGCTCCACATTTTAAACTCCATTCTCAYTCACCCTGTTTTGTCACTCTCCCTCACAAATTTGGGTGTGTGTCCTAAAATCTGAGCTGAGGGACAGAGCACTTACTAAACTTTGCCTTTTTTATGGATGATCTTCTGCCCGCAGCGGAAGGTGACGTTCCTGCCCTCAGAAACTGTCTTGGTTTTGGTCCTCGGTGGGGGCAGAGTGGGGGGCACCGTTGGGAACGGGAATTCTGTCCAGGGAGAGAAGGAAATGGCAAAATTTTACAACTTGCAGCCACCCCAAAATGCTTCCACAAAATTATTTAAGGAGCCTCGAAAGCAGTGATTTAAAAGCGCCTCATCCTGAGTGATTCTTGTAAGAGACAAATAACAGGATTGATGTGCAAAGGTAAAAATTGTGTGAACTGAGGTGGATAAAAATCAATTTTCCTTTTATAGCTATGGAAGAAAACATGAACAGCCCAGTGGAATTCCAATATTCCATGGAATATCTGGGTTTCAATCACATTTTCATGTCCCACCCCATGTTTAAATCACAGTTCAATATCCCTCCCCATAAATGTTTAAATCACATTTTCATGTCCCACCCTGTAAATGTTTCAATCACAGTTCAATGTCTCCCCCCTTAAATGTTTCAATTACATTTTCATGTCCTACCCCATAAACATTTCCATCACATTTAAACATTTTAATCTTTAAATATTCCCCCTTCCAGGCCCGGATCCACACTCAGATCCACAATTCCCATCTCTGTGGCGCTGCTCAGAGCTGCATCAGTATTTGCTGATCTCTGGTGGGAAATTCAGACCCTTCCCCATCCCAACATCACCTTTCCCAAATCCCTCCATGCAGACCCCACCCCAAATCCCCAAAAAGCCCTGGGTACCATAGCAGAAGTCACAGGTGGAMGGGCAGTGCTTCTTCATCAGCTTCCTGCGCTTGTCACAGAAACCTCGGTGTGCCCAGGAGGGGCACATCACCAGCCGGTCCTGACAGCCTGGAACGGGACAGGAATGGTCAGAGGGCCTGGAACGGGACAGGAATGGTCAGAGGGGCTGGGAGAGGATGGAAAAGGGGCTGGGGAGGATGGAAAAGGGACTGGGAGAGGATGGAACTGGGAGAGGAGCATTCACAGGGGCTGGGGGAGGTTGAACCAGCCCTTTTGGGGGAAATGTCACCTTAGTGCTCAGAACGGTGTGGAGTGGGATGGGGAACGATCAAAATGCTGAGGATTTCTGCCTTTTCTTTCTCTAGACCCTGTTAGATGCTCCCTAGCCATTTTAGATATTTTCTAGACATTTTTTAAGATACTTTCTAGACCCTTTCAGTTATTTTCTAGACCCTTTTAAGTATTTTTCTAGACCCTTTCCATTATTTTCTAGACCCTTTTCATTGTCTCACCTGAAACAGAGGCCATGTAAATTTAAAAGAATGAGGACAACTTTAGTCTAGGCCTAACAGGCCTAGTGGTACATGAGGGCAGACAAAGCCTCCTCCTCCTGAGGTTACACCCAAAAATGGACTCCAGATCACAAGATCTTCCCCTTTTATAAGTTTATAAGTCTCATTCACATATTGGGCCTTGATTCTCCAGTTACACCTTCAGGTGATGATGCCAACCACCCCACACCTCCTCCCCCAATTCTCTGTTTTTCCATATTTTGGGGCTCTGAGGCAGCAAGGTGTCCTTGGATTCAGCTCAGAGAGGAATTGTTTTGTCTAAAGATGGGAGAACAGTAGTTTTAGTGCTAAAACAGTGTAAGAATACAGATGCACRAAAATATAGAAACTAAAAATCCTAAGGCATCAATGGGACAAGCCAAAAACAGAGCTGGGATGTGACCCCACAAATCTCCCAGGGCTGGAGCTGCCWTTTGAGGCAAATCCCCCAATTCCTCACCGTAGAGCCGGTGGATCCCCCACACCTCATCCTGGGAGATGCTCTTTTTGCCYGTCAGGGTGGCGTTGATGTGCATGAGGGCGTTGGGGTTCAGCGAGTGCATCAGCCCCAGRGCGTGGCCGATCTCGTGGGCTGCCACGTGCACCAGGTCTGTCAGCCAAACCCCTGGAAAGGAAAAACAATTTGGGATGGTGTGGTGTGGGGAAAAATAACTGATGTAGGGCTCTCACACTCAGTTCATCCCAAAAAACCCTGAGGGAACATTTCAGAGTTTCATCCTGCCCCAGGTTCATCTTCGCTCCACGATGCCTAAATCTGGTTTACCTAAAGCAGAGGCTGGACAGAATTCAGGGAATAAAATAAAAATTCTGTTTATTGCAGGGCCTTCAGGTGCATCCAGGGGCAGTCCCAACCCAMCCACAATGGACAATGGCTCACGGGTTTTTTACATTTTATCAGTTTTATCCGTTTTCACATCGAGAATTCCTGCTCCCTGCTTTGCTCTGAGTCCCTCCCTTCTCCCCAGTTCTCTGTTGTTTCCATCTCTTGGGGCCTGGCACAGGGAGGGGTCCTTGAGTTTGGGGCTGGAGAGGAACAGCCCTGGGAAGGAGGGAAGGAAGGAGGGAGGGAACTTAGGAATTTAGGAAGGAAGAAATTTAAGAAGGAAGTTGGGAAGGAAGGAAGGAAGTTGGGAAGGAAGGAAGGAAGTTGGGAAGGAAGGAAGGAAG